TTGCGGGCACATCCCCGGCAGGGGGTGTGCAGGAGGCAGCTGGTTGATGTTTCTCTCTCATCGACGTTTCTAGCTCTCTATCTCTCTCCCTTCCTCTCTGTAAAAATCAATAAAATATATATATTTTTTAAAAAATGGTTAGTTTCTCCTCTTAATCTATCTAATGTTAATTTGAGATAGACAAAGCACATGGAAGGATCCAGTCCTGTGTGAGGGAACGCTAGCCAGAAGAACATTCAGGAGCAAAATCAGAATGACAGGAGGTAGAAGACAGAGAATGGGAGGCTTAAAATTGAGACTTTGGAAGAGGTGCGTTATTTGGGTAATGACAAAATCTGAAGCCTGAACAGAGGAGTGGAATGCTGAGATGCAAGAAGACAGAATCTTTGGAAATGAGGAATTCTCAAGAAATGGAAAGAGTCAGCCAGATGGAATGTCTCTGTGGATGCTAAGGATAATGGCAGTACCAGTGAGGAGAATAAAACAATAAGCAAGGAGCTGAAGAGCTATAAGAAAAAGCAGCTTCCAAGGAGCTGAGCATCTTAGAAAGAAGAAAAAACAAAGATCCAGAAGCAGCGATGAAAAGCAAAAGGTTGCTGAAACCGGTTTGGCTCAGTGGTAGAGCATCGGTCTGCGGACTGAAAGGTCCCAGGTTCGATTCCGGTCAAGGGCATGTATGCTGGTTGCGGGCACATCCCCGGTAGGGGGTGTGCAAGAGGCAGCTGGTTGATGTTTCTCTCTCATTGATGTTTCTAGCTCTCTATCTCTCTCCCTTCCTCTCTGTAAAAATCAATAAAATAAAATTTAAAAATTTAAAAATTTAAAAAAGCAAAGGTTTCACGCCTGCATTTCCAGGCCCAGAGGAAGCTGAATTTGGAGGAAAAACTACTTGCTATGTGCCAAGGCTACAGGAGACGCTGTACTTTCAGGAGGGAATCTTAAGTTTCCTGTGAGAAGAGGAAGGGAAAAGTCTGGGAAGTCTAAGGATGTAGGGGATTTTGCAAATGACAGACCGTGAGTTTCAAAGATCAGTTTGCTTGTTTTTATTTTATTTTTTTAAATATATTTTATTGCCGAGACTGGTTTGGCTCAATGGATAGAGCGTCGGCTTGGGGACTGAAGGGTCCCGGGTTCGATTCCGGTCAAGGGCATGTACCTTGGTTGCTGGCATATCCCCAGTAGGGGGTGTGCAAGAGGCAGCTGATTGATGACTCTCTCTCATCGATGTTTCTAGCTCTCTATCTCTCTCCCTTCCTCTCTGTGAAAAATCAATAAAATTTTTTTTAAATATATTTTATTGATTTTGTACAGAGAGGAAGGGAGAGAGATAGAGAGTTAGAAACATCGATGAGAGAAATAAATCGACCAGCTGCCTCCTGCACACCCCCCACCGGGGATGTGCCCGCAACCAAGGTACATGCCCTTGACAGGAATCGAACCTGGGACCTTTCGGTCCACAGGCCAATGTTCTATCCACTGAGCCAAACTGGTTTCGGCAGTTTGCTTGTTTTTAAACACATCATCACACATCATCACACACTTTTTAAAATATATATATATATTATTGATTTTTACAGAGAGGAAGGGAGATAGAGTTAGAAACATCGATCAGCTGCCTCCTGCACACTCCCTCACTAGGGATGTGCCCACAACCAAGGCACATGCCCTTGACTGGAATCTAAGCTGGGATCCTTCATTCCATAGGCCGACGCTCTATCCACTGAGCCAAACCGAACAGGGCATCTTCACACACTTTTAGGTGCCCATGAATTTTCAGAAAGGATGTAAAAGAAACTGTTAGCAGCCTGGGGATGCTGTACCAACCCAGTGGGGGTGACATTTAAATGCCTAGTCTGTCCAGTGAGGAAAGAAGGAACCGCCTTGTCAGGCACATGATTGAGGGATTCCCAGGGAGGGTGGGCAGGAAGCACAGGTCACTGAGAGTCTGAGTACATGAACTAGGCTGTGAGTTTGTTGTTGTGTTTTGTGTGTGTTTTATAAACCCCTCCCCACAGCTGGGCCTCAGTCTCCATCATTTTAAATGAGGAGTGTGGACTGGTTTTTCTCCCGGCTGCCCAGCTCTGATGGCCTATGGACCTCCTGGCGGGAGCTTTGGGTCCAGTCCTGTGTGAGGGAAATGAGGCCAGAGAGGCACAGAGCAGACACAAGAACCTTACAGCATCTTCTGATGGGAGCACAAAGCTCAATACCACGTCCCCTCACCCAGACACAGTGTTACCTAGTCACACACACACACCAGGCAAGAACAGCCAGGACCACTTGCACAAGCAGTCACCTACACTCTTCTCCACAACACACAGCATTGTGCCCAGCAACATCGTGTCACATATACAGTGTCCCACCGTTCACTGTCTACCAAAACCTCAGGCCCAGAGACCCCTACCCACCTTGAGCAGGTGAGGGAACTGCTGAGTGGCCATTTCCTTAAATTCATTGATGTTGAGGCTGCCCTTCCGGCCCTCTCGCCTTGCAAAGGTGAAGAAGGCGGTAACCAACGTGTCAATGGCTGTCTCCACCTCAGTCAGTGGCTCTGCAGCCATTAGGACCCTGGGGGCTATAGCTGATGTCCTCTGAGAGCTGACCTGCGGGAGGGGAAGGAAAGGGAGAGTCAGGATAGGTCAGAGTGACCCTGCCCTGGGTGGCCACCTCAAGCCTCTGTCTGGACAAGACATTATGGGGAAGGAAGGAGGAGACAGGGATGGAGCTTGGGCAGGGAAATACCTCAGTGCAGGCAGGGGAAGGGGTACCCATTTCCAGAAACCCCTTCCTCTCTAGATCTCAGTCCAGGGTCCTTTTGTTTTGTTTGTTTGTTTGTTTGTTTAAATATATTTTATTGACTTCAAAGAGAAAGGGAGAGGTAGAGAGAGAGACAGAAACATCAATGACAGAGAATCATTGATCAGCTGCCTTCTCCACGCCCTCTATTAGGGATGGAGCCTGCAACCTGGGCATATGTCCAGATCAATATTCCAACCATGACCTCCTGGTTCATAGGTCAACACTCAACTACTAAGCCACCCCGGGGTTTTTTTGAAGTGCCTGTGCCTTAAGGATGGCTCTGTGGTGGTCCCTCCACCTGAAGACCCTGATCACAGCCCGATGCCTGCGGTCATGGCATCTCGGGGCTTCCAGGCTGAGGGGAGCCCTCTCGGTCTCCTGACCCTTCTGTGGGGTTCAGTCCCAGGGCCCTTCTTGGAATCTCACCCAACCTCAGAGGGTCAAGAGGCTGTTTGTCTCCAAAGCTTGTTTGTTGCCCTGACCCGTTTGGCTCAGTGGATAGAGCGTCAGCCTGTGGACTCAAGGGTCCCAGGTTCCATTCCAGTCAAAGACATGTACCTTGGGTGCAGGCACATCCCTGGTGGAGGGTGTGCGGGAGGCAGCTGATCGATGTTTCTAACTCTCCATCCCTCTCCTTTCCTCTCTGTAAAAAAAATATATATTTTTTTAAAAATATATTTTATTGACTTTTACAGAGAGGAAGGGAGAGGGATAGAAAGCTAGAGACATCAATGAGAGAGAGAGAGAGAGAGATTGACCAGAATCGAACCTGGGACCTTTCAGTCCACAGACCAATACTTCATCCACTGAGCCAAACCGGTTTCGGCTATTTTTTATATATTTTAATATATAATTTATATAAATAAATTATATATATATATATATATATATATATATATATATATATATATATATATATATAATTTTTTTAAAAACAAGCTTGCTTGTTCAGAGGGGACCTGGGTCATCGCCCGCAGGCACGCGGTCTGCCCCTCCCAGCCGTGCAGCCCAGGCGCCCCTCCCCGCCTCCCAGCAGGGCCAGAGCACAGGACCCCCCAGACTCCCGCCCCTGTTTGCAGGTGACAAGGGTCCTGGATGGGCCTCTCCGACTGCCGCCACCCAGGAGGGGTTTCGTCCTGCACCCACAGCCCAGGGGCAGGGAGGCTGGGGGGGGACATGCCCGCTCATCCTCCCATTCACCCCCCCCTCCCCGGGCCTGGAGCTGCCTTCCCCAAGCCTCTTCCAGAACCCAGAGCGGCTCCGGGAAGGGACCTGGGAGCCCAGGGGGGGAAAGGCTCCTCGGCTCCCTCCAGAGCTGGGGGGACACACTCACCCGGCAAGCCGCACCGATGGGGTGCAGCGCAAGGGAGCAGCGGAGCTGAGGTTTACACGCGCGCAGACTCGGAGGCCGCCGCTCCCACGCCCGAGGTGACAAGTTTCCTGTTGATCCTGGAGAAAGGAGCCGCCCACGGAGCTGTCCCCTCCCGCCCCCTCCCGCCCCCTCCCGCCCTGCAGGCGATCCGGCCAGGAACCCGGCTCCTCTCTCCCCCACCCCCGCGCTAGCCCAGCCCACGCGCACACCCCCTTTTGGCTGCGGGGGCGGGCGGGGGAGAGAGGATCTGCCTGGCCAAATCCCATTCAGCCTGCAGCCTGTGGTCCAGTCCCTCCTGATGCGGGGGCCCTGTGTCCCACCACACCCCCACGTCTCATCAGGAGTGTGTATTGGGGGGAGAAGGGGGGACTGCAGATGGAAAGAACCGAATGAGGGAGCTCAGCACTGAGAGGCCCAGTCTGAGAAGCACCCAGCTCAGAAGGAGGTCTCCCCAAGGACCCTGCAGCCCAAGATCCCCTCCAGAGGATTCCAGGCTGAGAACCCCTAAACAGTGGGATCAGACTGAGACCCCATAGAGGAGGCCCAGGTTCAGTCCCTCTGTGGAGTCCTCCAGGACTAAATTATTCCGTGGGCTCCTCCCCGTCCCTGCCTCGCTGGCCACAGCCAGGTACTGGAGTGGGTGGGGGATACGAAGTGGGGAGGCTCCTGTCCTTCCCAGGACCTTTCCCACTCCCCTTCCTCCCAGGCTCTGCCTCAGCCCAGCCGTGTGGGAGAGGTGCCCCGGCCTGGAAAAGAAGACATAGGGCAGCTTGTTCCAGCCCGGGAGACAGAGGGCGCCTCTGTCCACTCCTGGCCCCTTGCCCCACTGGGTGTCTATCTGTGAAGGGGTGGAGCCGGTGAAGGGGGGTCAGTGGGGGAAGGAGGACTGAAGACAGGTCTCCCTGCTCCCGCAGCCACAGTTGCAGCCTTGTCTGTCTGTCCAGATCCTGCTCCCACCTCAGGCCCAGGCTGACAGTGAGTATCCTGCCCCATCCACCCCTGGCCAGCTCGGGCCAAGGGACTTCGGTAGAGCTCCACCGGGGACAATGGCATTGGGGTGCGTGGGGGGTCCTGAGGTTGTTTGGATGATAGCAGTTTGGGAATTGGGGGAGTCGGGGTTTGGAGGGTCGTGAGAGGAGGCAAACGCAGGCCAGAGAGGTATCTGGGAACCAGGTGGGAGGGGGAAGCAGCCAATGGGGAGCCCAGCCACTAAAGTTTTCAGGGGATCAGGCCTTCCGACCAAGGCTCCCTCCATCTCCCAGCTGCTGGGGAGGGGACCCAACCCTGGGCTCACTTCCAGTGAGGTTAGAGAGAGCAGATGGAACAGCTGCTCTGCCCGACCCCTCAGCCTCCGCCTCTGCCACCCCGCCCAGGCGCGACCCAGGGAAGTCTGGAGGTGGCGGGGCATAGACGGTGAGATATCAGGAAGAGGGGGCGCGAGGGAACTACACCCACCCCCAATTCTCCCTGCGTATAGCCTCCCATCTCCTCCTCTTTCTTGGCCCAGACCTCCAGACTCCTCTCCCCGCCGCCCCACTCTTTTCTCTTTGTTTTCCCAGGTGCCCCCTCCCTGTCAGGGTGCCCCCTACATTAAATGCCTGGCTGCTCTGCTCACTCAGGGCCCCAGGTGCCCCTCCCGGAGGGGGCCTGTAACTGAGCCTCCAGCCCTCCTCCCTCGCACGCCCCTTATCCCCTCCATCGGCTGGGCTTGGGTTCCATCTCCCCTGCGTCTCTGTGACAACTGCTTCTCATGTCCCGAGTTCAGGTGACACTCACAAGGGCCCCATTGAAGAGCAGGGCTGTCATTCGATCGGGGCCTATTGTCCAGCCCCTCGGGCCTGGGGCAGGATGGGGACACCTGATCCGAGACACCTGAGCTGCCCCCGGAGGCAGTGAAGGGGCTGGCTGTCCCAGGGAAAGAGACCCCGGGCTTGGCCATCTCCTCTCTGGACAGACCCCTTCAACTCCTCTCTCCCAGCCCCTTAAACTCAGAAGACCTCACGCACTCCGCTTTTTATCTCCCCCAGTACATCCCAGTGCCCTCTGCCTGTTGCCACCGTCTCCACATCTACCAGGCTGGGCTTGGGGTGGGAGTGGCGGGCAGCAGGGACAAAACCCGCTCAGGGCTCCTCTCCTCTTCCCTGGAAGCTCTGGCTCCGGGGCAAAGGCTCAGACATTCCTCCCTCCCTTCTCACCACTTCCCGAGAGAAGGGGTAAGAGGAACCAGTCTACGGGCGATAGAGACTCACCCCAGGGAGCCCAAGTGCCATGTTCAGGTCAGAACAGAGTTGAAAGACCAAAAAGAGGCCCCCAGTCTGCTGGCAGGAAGCTCAGAGGCAATGAGACCCTCTCCCCATGAACCTGGGGCCATCCACTCGGGCTGGCACCTTCTCCATCAGGTGTCCGGGGACATCAGACTGGCTCTTTGCCAGGGGTGGGCAGCAGAGTTGAATCTGTAGAGAGGAGTCCAGCCCACTGCCCCCAACCGCAGAGCTTGGCTGTGCTAGGCAGGCAATGTCCAGGGTAAAAATAGAGCCAGAGGGATGCCTGGCTGGGTCCTGTGACCACCCCTGCCTGCCTGCCTGCCTGCCACACCCTCCTCCGCGTCCGCCTGGGCAGCCGGAGACCTTGCAAAGTCCACTGCAGGTCTCCAGAGCCGCTCCGCCATCCTGCCTCCACGCCCCCAACCCTGGCTCCCCCTGGCTGGAGTCTGGATTGAGGGACACGAAGAATGGTCTGGACTGAGATCTCTTTGGGTTCCCCCTGCATCATAGCATCCCAGGGAGAGGAACATTGTGAAGGGGCTCCGATCTCAAGGCCACTGGGGCTGTGGAACCAGGGTCAGGTTCCCAGCTCACGTCCATGGCGGGGGCGTGGGTAGGTGAGCTGTGCGATGGGTTCTGAGCTGGAGACGGCGATGGAGACCCTCATCAACGTGTTCCACGCCCACTCGGGCAAGGAGGGGGACAAGTACAAGCTGAACAAGAAGGAGCTGAAAGAGCTGCTGCAGACCGAACTCTCTGGCTTCCTGGACGTAAGCACAGGATGGGATGGGGGAAGAGGAGGGGGACAGAGTGGGCATCTCCCTGCCATCTTCCCAGCCCAGCCCAGCTCAACCATCTCCTTCCTCTCCTGGTTCAAGCCAAAATGCCCTGATTCATGCATCCCTTGGGCCAGGCCCTGTGTCAATACATCCGAAACAAGGCCCACAGTCTAACAGGGAAAGACTGACCCTCAGAGTAAACCTTGGACACCAAGAAGCACACAGAGCCTTCACAGAAGCGGCAGGAAGTATTACGGGAGGATAGGAACCCGGTTGAAGTGGCACCTGAGCCACAGATCTCCAGTGGAGGATTACCAGGGTGAATGTAGACATTTTAGGGGGAGGGGTCTGCGTGAACAAAAGTGCGGCAGAAAGAGCATGCAGCATGCTCAGCGGTTCTGACTAGAGCGAAGGATGCAGAAAAGTGGGCTGGCTCTGACCCGGGAGCTCAGGTGGTGAGAGCATCACCCCCAAATGCCAAGGGTGCAGATTTGATCTTTGGTCAGGGCACGTAGGGGAAGCAACCAATACAAGCATTCGTAAGTGAAACAGCAAATCAATGTTTTTCTCTCTCTTCTCTTCTCTCTCAAATCAATTTTTTTAAAAAGTAGGCTAAAGGAGAAGTAATAAGTGAAACAGCTTTGATATTTTTTAATTTTTTAAAATATATTTTATTAAATTTTTTATAGCGAGAAAGGGAGAGCGATAGAGAGTTAGAAACATCAATGAGAGAGAAACATCAATCAGCTGCCTCTTGCACCCTCCCTACCAGGGATGTGCCCGCAACCAAGGTACATGCCCTTGAACAGAATCAAACCTGGAACCTTTGAATCCGCAGACTGCAGACGCGCTATCCACTGAGCCAAACCGGTTAGGGCAGCTTTGAGATTTTATTAGACCTGGGTTCAAATTCTGACACTTTCTAGCTGTGTGACTTTGGACACATTGTTTAACCACTAATGGTCAATTTGTTTCTTCTCTAGAGTAAGAATAACGGAAACCTGCTTCACACTTTTTGTGTGAGGATTGCATTGGACGAGGCTCCTAAACTCCAGGGGTAGTGCTTATCCCACCGCAGGCACTCAGCATATAACTGATGTTATTATCACTCTGCCTTGTTGAGGAGCTTATTCTGTGGGCAGCAGGAGACTCCAGGATGCAGTTTTGAGGAGGACAGCAGAAGAGTGCCATGATTAGATGTAGTGCCCCTCTTGCTCAGCTCCTTCTCCCGTCACCCAACCTCTTGCCTCTGACTCAGCACTATATACATCTCTGTACAATGATCTCTGTCTCCTCAATTCGCAGGCCCAGAAGGATGCGGAGGCTGTGGACAAGGTGATGAAGGAGCTGGATGAGAACGGAGATGGGGAGGTGGACTTCCAGGAGTATGTGGTGCTGGTGGCTGCCCTCACGGTGGCCTGTAACAACTTCTTCTGGGAGAATAGTTGAGCAGACAGCCCCAGTGGGCAGCGCCCTTCCCCTCTGCCCTGCCATACCTGCCCCTACACCCTGCTTTCCTTCCTCCCCACCCTCCCCTTCCCATAACCCCACCTTTGCCCACCCTCCGACAAGGGCGCCAGAGTAGTGGGCCAGACCTGCAACTCGTCTTTCATTAAAGGCTCATCTCTCAACAGCTGCTGTCTGTCTCCTTTGGGCTCCGGACGTGGGTGGGGAAGGAAAGGTGCCTTGTTTGGGGTGGGATCTTACTTAGAGACCACAGAGTCATTACTCTTCTGATGTGAGGGATTCTCAAGGCCCAGGAAGGCAGGGGTTCAAGGTTCCAGCTGGAAATGAATGAGATGTTAGCTTCTCGGCTATAAAAGACAGAAAAAGAATTTCCCTTAAAAGAATATTTAGAGAATGTCCCATGTGCTAGACGTTGTGTAGGAACTGGGGATACAGCACTGAATAAAATAAACACGATTCTTACCCTCACACAGATGGAGTCCAGTAAGGATGCCAGACCATTAAACACATACACAGAAATGCTAGGAAGGAAAACAAAAGGATCCTGATGGGCACATGTGCGGGTTGGAGAGGGTGGAGGGTTGAAGAAGTGTTCATTCATTCATTCATCAAACATTTGAGCATTTTGTGTATCCAGGCATTAGAAAATCCCCTATACGTCTGTATCAAAATCCACATAAATGGCAGATGAGGAGGGAAGACCTGGAAGGGACAACTGGGACTCAAAGATCCCACCCAAATAAGGACTTAACAATATCCAGGTCAAGTTGGGGAGGGGAGAAAGTGAAGAGGAAAATATGGGGTGGAGGGAGTGGTGACTGGAGCAGGATCCAGTAGAGGTGTGCTCCCAACACTAGCCCCCAAGCCTTGGCCGGGGATTCATGGCACTCCACAACTCTCTGGAGAGACCAAATGCTCAGGGGAGAACCAGTGCAAATTACCCAGGCCCCGTGGTCTGGAAAAGAGACCCACACAAGTCCCACAAGAAGTTTATTTATTTTTAAATAATATTTGTATTGATTTCAGAGATGAAGGGAGAAGGATAGAAAAATAGATCAATCATGAGAGAGAAACATCATTAAATGGGCATGGGTCCTGACAGGGAATCGATCTAGGTGACGTCCTGGTTCAGGGGCCGACGCTCAAATCACTGAACAACACCGGCCGGGCCCACGTAAAGAATTTTAAGACGCTCTGCCTTAGTCTGGGGAAGCGAGCAGACGCGCGAGGAAATACGAACGCGATTTCCATGGGGGTCAAATCCGCTCCGAGGGGCCCAGATTTTGTACTGACAACCCCGCCGGGAAGAACCTGCAAACGCCGGGCCTTGGCCACGCCCCTCTGCGGGCGAAGCACGGTGAGCTCTCCGAGGAGGCCCGCCTCTCTCTCCGGCCCCGCCCCTATTCCCCCCGCGCAGGCGTAGCACGAACCTTCCGGCGGGGGGGGGGGGGGCCCTCCCGTCCCCGGTAGTGCGCAGACCTGACGCATGACGTAACTGCGCCGACGCCATTTTAGCCGGTCCCACTCCGCACTGGGCGTGGCGGCCATTTTGTTTGGACACCGAGCGGGAGTTGGTGGCAGCGGTTGTGGTGGCACAGGCGAGAGGCAGGAAAGGGCAGGCCGAGGGGGCAGGGGGACCGGTCGGCTGAGCCCAGCAGCCAGCCAGCCAGCCCACGGCGCGCTGACCGAGCAGTCTACCCCTTAGGCACCTCAGCCCACCAAACACGTCAGCCCGAGCCCCCGCACCATCCACTCAGGTCCGGCCGGCCCCCGGCCCGCCTTCCTCAGCCGCCGTGGCAGCCCCGGGAGGAGCGCTGGCGTCCTTTTCCTTCGGTGAGTGTCTGGGGTGAGGAGGAGGAGAGTCTCGGGAGAGCGGAAGGGCCGGCGAGCCGGGCGGCGTTGGGATGTGGGAGCAGAGAAGGTGCCGGCGCGTGGGAGCCCGGGGCGCGAGGGGCGGGGCCTCGGGGCGCGAGGCGGGGCGGGCCCGGAATTGGAAACTGGCGGCGGGACTGGCTGCGAGAGGTTGGGGTTTGATACGGATACAGAGGAGAGTGGTTTGGCGGGTTTGAGCAAAGCTGGCGGCCTGGCCTGCACGTGGAGAGGGTAGGGAGGTGACGTGAGGACTACGGGGTCTGAGGGAACGTTGGGAAGACATGGCAGCTTTCAGGTTAAGTTTCACAGAGGGCTCTCAGGGCGCTAACTCCAAGGTGAGTGCCCATTAAGGGAGCCTGGCCCGTCACCCTCCCTCTCCCAGGTCCCCCAGCCCCTTGGCTCAGGCCCCTTCTCATTTCGGAGCCGAATGCCAATTTTTGAAACTCGATATGCCTGTGTCTCCTCTCTCCTCGGTGGTTCTCGGTTTGGGCTACACGTGAGAAGCACCGGGGAGCCTTTCTTCCCCTCTCCAGTGGCCGATTTCCCAGACCTCACCGCCAGATAGTGTGGTTTAATTGGTTTGGGCCCAGGTTCCTGCATTTTTAAAAAAAATTTTTAAAGCTCCTTGCAGCCAAGGTCGTTGAGGACTGCGCTGGATGAAAAGCCAAACTCTGACACTTCCCTGTCTGTCGTTTTGGTGGCTTTGGCAGATATTTTCTGGCCCTTGGCCTTGAAGTGTCTTAGTTTGACATAACTGTCTTAGAAGCTTAAGCACCTGAAATGAGATTTAGTGTAGTCTCTTAAGTAGTCTTTGATACAGGCCTTTTCATTCATTCATTCACTGCTTGCTTTGGGCCTTTGGCCCCTGTAGAAATGAGGTGGTGGTGGTGGTTTCTGATTTGCTCATTCTGCCTCTTTATTGTCCTTTGTAGATCCTCGGGATTTGAAGATGGCTGCACAGTCAGCACCGAAAGTTGTGCTAAAAAGCACCACCAAGATGTCTCTAAATGAGCGGTGAGGCAGCCAACAGCAACTTCAGCTCGTTCATAAGAAAACATTACTTAAATTGGCCCTAATGCACAAAAGCCGGTTTTAACACTAAGTACCAACAGAAGGCTACAGACCTCTGTTCTTAGTTGCATCTTACTTATGTGGTACACAGAGCAAATAGGGCAGTTGTTTCAAAACCCTTTACCAGTAGCTTTTTATGTTAAGCTGTCTGAAATATTTGTTTGGTGGGATGTATTTTAAAAAGACTCCTCACACCCTCCCTTTTCTTCACAATTTTAACATTGACACAGGGATGGTGCAACTTGGTAGCACGGTACCCTGACTGCAGGAGGCTTGCTGCCCAGTCCGAGGCCAGCAGTGTTGTGTCTGGCCTGTAAGAGGCGGGTAGCAAGCTGTGAATATGTCCAAAGGCCCTCGGATGCCATTCTTGGGCCTTGTAAGAGGCACTTGCTTTTGCTCCATTTCACTTTCTTTTCATTCTGCTTTTCATTTGTTTTTGTTTTAGATTCTTTTCATTTGTGTTCTTCTATCCCATTAAGCATATTTTACAGAAATAATATGTCTTCACAAACTCTTAAACAGTTGAACTAATCTTTCAGAAATAGTTGAAGTAAAAAAAGTAATTTCAGACTAAGAAAAGCAAAGATACTAAAAGGCAGTTTCTGTCTATGAGAGCTCTATTCATTGAGAGCCTTTGACCAGTGGTTTTAGTAAGTTGATTTTAGAACATATGTATTTTTGCCTTTTCTGAAGCGTATGTGCTTCTTTTCTCCTAGACATACCAATTCTTTATATTCACTAAGTGGACAAATACATAAGAAAATGTGATGCACTCCTATAACTTGCATGGGTGCATTATTTCCATGGGCTCTAGTCCTTCCTTATATTTGCCCTTAAAATGCACCCTCAGTTCTCCCAGGGTTTTGACTTTCCTTGTTTGTCTTTGAAGCTACATCTTTTGTCTCGTGTTGTCATCATATCTGCTTACTGCGTGTTTTTCATATCTTTCTCCTCTCTAAAAGCCGTTACTTGAGCCCTTGTTATCACTTTTGATTCAATGTGCTGCACTTAGCTGCATTTCTAAGTTTCTGATTCTTGCAAGTTTATGGAAGCAGAGGAGTCTTGAACCCACATCAGCTTTGATCTAAGTGTACCGCTTTACTTAAAAGTTCGTGGGATCTGGAGTTCCTGGTCTAGCAAGCCATGAAAATGCCAATAAATGTTTTATAATAAAGCTTTTATTTAAACATCCATTCTGTTCGACCTTGAAGCTTTACTAACATGCTGAAGAACAAACAGCCGATGCCAGTGAATATTCGAGCTTCGATGCAGCAACAGCAGCAGCTAGCCAGTGCCAGGAACAGAAGACTGGCCCAGCAGATGGAAAACAGACCCTCTGTCCAGGCAGCGTTAAAGCTTAAGCAGGTGAGAGAATGAGTCTAACATTCCAGAAGCAGCTGGTGATCTCTGCCAGGCGGTCCACCAAGACTGTAAGGAGTGATACAAGGCAGCTCAGGGCAAAAGCTAAAACTTCTCTAGAGAGAATTCCCATTTTGGCAGGTACCAATAAGTAACTTTGTTGTCTTTCTCTCTTTTAGGGTGTGTGCCATCAATGTGGCCTGTTTCTCTGTTATCAATGAGTGCTAATCTCTTGTTTTCTGGTCCTTTGTCCTTTTTCTACAAAGAAATTTTGATTTTTAGATGACCTTCAAAAAATCCTTTATTCCCTGTTAAATGCTTTACAAACCAGGGAAATGCTTTTATTCTTTCTCCCCTAGTCCAGGAGTCTGAATGGCCTCAGTCAGTGCTTTCAGTGTGGAAATATAGAAATAGTAGGATGACCCTCATCCCCACAGCACCTGCATTTTTATCAGAAAGTTCAGCAAGAGCACTGAGTAATTTAAAAGTTAATGGTTTGCTTTCAAATTTCCAGGAGAGATAATCCTATTCAGACCTGAAATAAAAACCTGCTCTTTATTATTCATAGACTTTATATGCAAGTCCGGACAGTGGCTGTGGAAGGATATGTCCAAGCTGTGGCTGGGCGTCTGGAGGGCGGTGCCATGCAACTGTAAGGACTAACTGGTAGCACTGCATGGCTGTGCATAGATTCAGCAGTTAAATATAACACCACCCCACCCAGAACCATTGGGCTCACTGACCAAAAATAAACAAGGCTTTCTGCTTCACTACCTTGAGCCTTGGAGTGGCTGCGTTGTCCCTGACTCAGGAAAGCAGCAAAAGGCACCACCGTTGTCTAGGCGTAAATATAAAAAATTGC